CCGAAAAAATCGCGTTGGAGGAAACGACTCAAAACTTCGTTGAATTTTGTTGCTATTGTTTCTCCTTAGAAAATGTGATTATCTCTGTTAGTCTACTTAGAAATGCATCCAGATGAACGTGATATAAACCAATGAAGAGTAGAATAATCAGTTGAGTTGATCATGTCATTCGTCCAATTTGCGTCTATTTTCTTAGCTATTCAGCAATGATAGAGGGCAAACAGTAAAAATGGCCCGGGACATAAGCACTTGAAAGTGGTCGACTATTAAGAACAGAGGCAATGGCTTTAAAATTTGATGGTATTTAAATATCTCTCATTTAGTCGCTTAGCATAGCGTAGGAAGGATAAAGCAATATTAAGAATACAGCATTTATAATAGGATGTTTAATGCATGTTAGCATAAGTCCTGAGATGACATCTATAAGATTGAGCGAGTGTCATTCTTTGGACATAAGAGATACGCACAGAAAAGGCTGCCGTCTCTAACTTGTGCTCAGCTNTAGCATAGCGTAGGAAGAATAAAGCAATATTAAGAATACAGCATTTATAATAGGACGTTTAATGCATGTTAGCGTAAGTCATGAGATGACATCTATAAGATTGAGCGAGTGTCATTCTTTGGACATAAGAGATACGCACAGAAAAGGCTGCCGTCTCTAACTTGTGCTCAGCTTTTTTCTTTTGTGGACAACGCGTTACTTCGGAATAATCTTCTTCATTTCTCGTCTGGTGACCATGGATCAGGCGTCGTGTCGGTATCTTAAACAGTGTGTTGTATTCATGAACGTAACCACTGGAGAGCGATGGCAATTGGAATAGTAAATTGCTCGAGCTGACTCGAGATCGAGCTTCATCCTCTTCTCTGGTAGGAGCATTCAAATCCTCAGGTCGTTCCACGAAGTAGCCAGTGGAAACACAGTCAGTATCTGGAGAATGCTGATTTGGAGCTCTTAGGTGGTATGTATGGTGAGGAGTTTTATGAAGTTCCGCGGCGAGATGATTTTTCGCTCATTTTTCGATATTTTTGGTACCAATCGATTTGTATTGATCCAATCGATTCAGCTTGATAAGTGGATCACGAGAAATAATAAATTGTGGCATTTTGATAGACCTGAGATGAAAAGAATGCTTAACTGGTCAGTGGTTAATGAGCGAATGGTCAAACAAACGATGAAGCGATCTCCCTCTCAAAAGCAAAAGCATTTTATTTCGTTGAAACTTTCCATGTGAACACAACACATGTTCTTATTGTTCATTTTTATTTATTAAAAATCTTTCATAATATACTTTAGCACAATTACTATTAAACATTACCTTCATAATATAGCCAATTACATAATAACCATCACAAGTTGGCTCAATACTATATTAAAGCAATGAAGACTGTCAAATTTATCACCAATATTAAAAAGCAATGAAGACTGTGATGGTATTCTAAAAAAACCCTTTAGACATAAACAAATATCGTAGAGAAGGGAATAAAAAGTAATGTAAGACAATGACAACTTCGTGCTGAATGTAAATTGAACCAGTAAGTTTTAATTTGTTGAAATTTATTGAAATGGGAACCGAATGTCTTTCATAATAAATTTCTGAATATATTATATGAATGATTACAATATTCTTTCAATTCCATAGTCACAAATACAATTCATAAGGACAAAATAAAACATTTATTAAACATTTCGATAACTTCACAGTAAACATAACAAATCATAAAGAACACACTAAAAATTAACGAAAACTCCATCAGGAATGTACATTAGAACAATAACATTCTGATTCNCCATAGTTACAAATACAATTCAAAAGGACAAAATAAAACATTTATTAAACATTTCGATAAATTCACAGTAAACATAACAAATCATAAATAACACAGTAAAAATTAACGAAAACTCCATCAGGAATGTACATTAGAACAATTACATTCTGATTCATTCAAATGCGCTTACCAGAGCTCAATCTCAACCCAATTTGAACAATATCTCGCAGTTCAGCGTTACAAACTAGGCCAACCAGATGCTAGGGAGTATGAATAACAAATAAATTAAGCCTACGGCTAAAAAATACCGCGATTCTTACAATTAGAAAAATATTCATTGAACAGACATCAAACCGAGAGTTCAAACGAGATTAACAATGAAAGTAACTCCTGACAAGAGAACAACAGTCAGTGTGAAAAATACAAATACAACTTATCGACTCGTCAAAATTAACGCTACTAAGTAAGAAATATATCAATGGTTTATCGTCTGAAAATCCGCGAAGCTGGAACCCGGAATCCTTAGACCTCTCACTGGGGAAGAGATTTGGAATTAATATCAGATATGGCTGTATAGCTCCGAATTAATTCGCTGTCTGCGGACATCGACTGCAAACGTCAACATCAACAATCACAAATATCCGGGATATCATGACTTTAACGATGCGGATATAGGGATTTGCAAAGAACAAGTTGAACACCAACATTTAATTTCGCGGGTTTGCCTTCGTTATGAGAGCGTTTGAGCGCACTTTCAAATTGGGTGCAAAATTTTGACAGTTTTTTGCCTATAACTCTGCCGAAAATCCACCAAGTCGACAATTTAACTGTTAGAAATATTGATAAATGGGTCCCGAACTTAACCTGAAGTTAAAATCCAAAATGATTCAGTACTGACCCAGTTTGAGCACAAAACCGATAATGGGAACGTATCGTAAAAATACTTTGCCCACCCCTCACTTTTCGCACTTTTCATTCAGCAAATCGCTGCTCCGGCCCGTTCTTGGCGATGAGCCGAGACGCGTCGGCGTAGAATGTCATTCGCGAGCGATTCACTTTTCTTTTACTTGTAATTTTTTAATTAATTAGCGGTAATTATGATGAGTGGATATGTTATATTTGTATTTTTCACGCTAATTGTTGTTCCGCATCTTCTATATTTTAAGCTGCCTCATTTTAATGCGTATTAAAGCAATTTGAACCAGTTTCAAGACATTCAAAACACCGTTGTGATGAATTACTTATATTGTAAATTTTGTTTGAACGTTCGGTTTGTCCTCTATTTAGTGAGCATTTTTGTGAAATTCGAGCTATTTTTGGTCGTAAGCTTTGATTATTTGTTGCTCGTACACCCCATTTCTTCTTGACCTAAACGGAAAGGTTACCTTTAGGTCAAGGAGAAATGGGGTGTGGCCTAGACTTACGCTTAGCCCGGTGATGAGGCTAACGCATAGGCTTCGACTTATGTGTGAAGCATACGAGCATTAGGCCACACCCCATTTTTCCTTGACCTAAACGGTAGGATTACCCTGAAACTTGGTACTTTTGCACTGTAGGGGATCCCACCCTACGCGCCTATCGAAAGAGAGAAAAGGGATAACCTCAGCATAGGCCTAAGCGTTGCTGTTAAGGGGTTACCATGTGGTGGGGTCCACTACATTGCAAAAGTGCCTGACACTTTACCCCATCTCCTGCTCCAATTCAAATTTCTTAATTAAATTCGCCTCCGGCTCCAGCTCTAGCTCACGAATTTTGATTCGTGAGCTAGAGCTGGAGCCGGAGACGAATTTAATTAATCGGTTCCACCTCCCGCTCAGGTTATGCATTCTCCAAATTTTCGGCTGTCTCAGGTTTCAGCTCCGAAATTTGCTTCGCTTCCCTCCGGCTCCACAAAAATTCATCACGCAAGTCTTAGCTTCGGCTGCTGAATGTTGTCGCGATATTTTTTCGATGGAGTCAAAAAATTTTTTGGCTCACGATCAAGAGCTTGCAACAGTTATATGCAATGTTTGTTAGGATGAATAAACCAGCTGTGAATGATGACAATAGATTAGCGTTATTCTTCTTATGTACGTTTTGCGAGAGATCTCGTAGGGGCCCCGATGGGTATGGAGGATTCTGTGAGCACGGGAACCCACACGGATTATCCCGCGAGTTGTCGCGATGATTCACGTTCCTGCGAAGTATTTTTACATGCGGTGAACTGCGAGGGGGGGGGGGGGGGGGGGGGGGCGAGGGGATTTATCCAAATTTCGAACACTACCGTGAAGATTAGCAATCGTTAGAAGCGAAAGTTTTTAATGAGGGAATTCCACAAAATCGGAAGAAAATGTGAATGAATTTTTAGATTCTTCTTTCCATTTGTATGATTATTCTGTCCTTCTCCCATGGTACATCTATTTTTTAGCTTTTCCTGTTTAAAAAATTTTAAAACAAAAACTGGTGGTCGATCTTGCAAATTGTTGTGCACCTTTACGTTCTGAATGTATAATATGTGAAGAAGATGCATCAGACAGCACCACAATGTTCTGGTTAGAGCATGCAATTTTTATTCCGAATCGGAGACAACAGATCAAATTAAAGTCTGTAGGATATGCTTATATCGGGTAAAATGGTTGATATATGAAAAGCTGAGGCAATATGGAGAGGAAGTCACGTATAACCTTTGAGAGTTAACACTACACTGCTTTTGCCGAATAGTAACAGATCAGTCAGTTGTAATGGTACATTAAATCGGTATGGGTTTAACCAGTGATTTATCAAATAGAACAGTTTTAACTTTCACTATATTGATATGCTTTACAGCAATCAATACGATGTGCAAGATGTTTGCAGATATCAAAAGAACTTCTTCATTTTTTTTTATGTCAACAGTTGTTGTCGATGTGATGTTATTTATGCATTTTTGTACGTTCTCATGATGAACCAAATCAATACGAACACAGTCTGAACGTTTGTTCAGTCGTTCAAATAGTTGCATTTACGTGCGTCTGAAAACTTTCTTTGTTTCTTCATTATTTATACACATTACATTAATCTGTCATCATCGAAATGTTTGCTGATTAAGTAACAGTGTGCGCTTTACTTTGAAACAGCCAAAACTTGATTTAAATTGATGTGGAAGTTGAATGTTGCTTATAGCTTCAACCCTTGGATTGTTGAGAGTTCCTCCTAGGCTTCATAATTGCAGTAGCATTATATAGAATTTCAATTTAAAGTATGATACGATCTTGATCATTTATGAAAATTATTATTGACTTTCTGCATGGCTTGCCACAAATTTCCCAGACTTACTGTTTATTCCACATCAATTCTTCTTTTTTTTCAAATTACTCCCGTACTCACTCAAATTAAAGCATTTTCTGTTGTACTCAATGCCACTGATTTCAAATATCTTGAGTTGTTTGAAGTCGCAAGCTATCGCGAAAAACCTCTCCTTAGTGATCGTCTAATCTTTTGTAGTATTCTTATTTTTTGTCTTTTCCGTAATGAATGCCACAAACATGCACTAAATCGTAACTCCAGTAGGCAATTTTCCGAAAACAGCGTAGAACGTGAACAAACAATGCTCATAAACTTCTTAACACCAATGCAATTATGCGTAAAGCCACACATGGAATGATATAATGAAATTGCTGAAAGGTATTATTGATTTTAGCTTGCTTTCAACGATAACCAATACCTGAACTCATTATGGTCAACACAATAATTACACTCAAATTCAACGTGTTAACACACTGTCATCATTTGTTCTCAGTTGAGATTCATAAGATCTTAACAAAAACAATCCGTAAATGTAGCTAAGGCACCTTCGCTGGTTTTAACTTCATCCACTTCAATCAAGCTGAGATTACTCTTAAGCCGTGACATCCGCCTCGGTTTAGTATTAAGCTCAGACGTAGGTTAGCAACGATGAATCCCCATCAGGTGCATTTTACGAGATGTGTTCAATATGAGGTTGGAACACCCGACCATTTTTGAAAATTTTTAAAAATGAATTTGATTGATGGTAGTAGTTTTTTGAGGTATTGTCAGCAATGTTGCGAATTCAGCGATCAGGACGAGTGTTGAATTGCATTGCAGACCTGTTGAGACATACAGACCTTTATCAATATCACACAACTGTATTGCCTGAGGGTGCAAAAGCTTTCATAAACGGTAAGTTCGAGAAAGTTGTTTGTATTATCTGTCGATTCCAATAGGAACAAATGTAAAACATTGAACTCATGTACTAGCGATTCTCGTTTAGTCAGCATAGCATAGGGTCGAAATCCGAATTGCTGCATGAGATTATCAAAACAGAATTTGTCGTCGAGACGCCGAAAGAAATCGTGCAGCTGTCTTTGTAATCTTTCGATTTTCGTTGTGATGAACAATGTAAATGATTCATCATTGCTGTACCAAATTAATTAAAGGCAGGTGGGTGACTGCAGAATCAAAAGCAACATTCGAAGTGCGGAATCCTTTTTCTGGGGATATTCTGTATCAGGCTGCTAACTGTGATGTTGCGGATGCCAAACGGGTAAGCATATCTCATTTCATAACACGGTTCCTTTACGCACCCATTCACCTCGCACTTATTCTATCAGTGCACATCATTAAATGCGTTAATCTCTTAATTCACCTCTTAAAAAATCTGGGAAAAATTTTTTTGCCTTTTCGTTAACTTTAGAATTTAGAACTGATGTGAAGTTTTTAGAAATGGCTGTTTTTTATTGTTTGTCGATGTATGATTTTTTAGTGATACTAAGCAAGAGTCGTAAGAAGCTCTAAAATCGCTTTTATCAGTTCGAAAGTTCATGTCATCACGCCCAAATGAGTTGCTTCAGACATTAATTCAGTGGCAGAATGAATCACTACAAGATGTCGGGGCTGTTCGTGAATATTCCAGACAAATGACTAGAGCTTTCATTAAGTGATTTCTGTTCGCATAATGATGCCCNTTTTATCAGTTCGAAAATTCATGTCATCACGCCCAAATGAGTTGCTTCAGACATTAATTCAGTAGCAGAATGAATCACTGCAAGATGTCGGGGCTGTTCGTGAATATTCCAGACAAATGACTAGAGCTTTCATTAAGTGATTTCTGTTCGCATAATGATGCCCAACACTTGGTGCTTTTAATGCTTCTTTGCTTATCAATTCATTTAGAAGTTCTGCAGAGCGTAAAAGCTGCGAAGGATGCATTCGAACAATGGTCAGTGGGTCTTACTGGAAAACAAAGGGGCGCTATTCTGTATAAATGGTATCAGTTGATGTGCGAAAAAGAATCGCAACTGGCTGAATTACTTACGCTCGAACAGGTTCATCAGTTAACTGTCGTTCATTTTCGGCTTTACAGGATTTTAGTGGCTCCTGTCGTATTTTTGACTGTAATATCTTGTTATGTAATTCTCAGTTAGTCGATGTGAATGAGCATAATTCTCAGTTAGTCGATATGATCATACTTTTACAGAATGAATTCTTATTTCAGTTTTTCTATTCTGCTAGGATAACATAAGTCATCGGCCATTCTGATAGAGTGGCACAAAACAATCAATAGATCTCATTTCACTCATTCTCGATACCGTATGTCTTCCCTCAATAATATTTTCAAACATTCGAGAAATGCACTCACTTTTCATAGGATTTTGGCATTAGTCGTTATTTGGTTTATTATTTTTTCCTAAATATAGGAACTCTGGGCCCCTATCGATATTTCCGGTTTTCTTTTTATTAGACGATGCAAAAGATGTTTTCAAAACCTATTTGAAAGAGCGCCTGCGTACAGCGCCGTCAAGAACGATCACATATCGAATCGTCGTACTCTAACGAATAATTTGCACTTTCCTGCCAACCCCAGCACGCGCAACCTAAGTGCCTAAACAATCTGCAAAGACCTAGATTTAGGTAGCGCTGAAATAGAGTTACTTGAACACTATTTCCACTAAATATTTTACTGTTTTTACGCATTCGCTTATACTTTCACAATTTGGATTTACACTATTATTTAAAACTGTAATGATATGAATCTTCTCCGTACAATTGCTAGTCGTGTATTTGCAGTCGCATTTAAGGGTAAACCATTAGCGGAGGCACGAGGTGAGATTCAGTATTCGTCGTCATTCTTGGATTGGTATTCTGGTGAGGCTAGACGTATCTATGGCCAAGTGGTTCCGGCGACAGCAACGAATCGGACGCATTTGCATACACGTGAGCCGATTGGTGTGGTTGCATTGATCACTCCGGTAGGAATGTTCGTATTTCTGTTTCTTTTAGTGAACTGAACTTGAATCAAATAAATTATTCAGTGGAACTTCCCAACGGCAATGATTGCGCGTAAAACGGGTGCTGCTTTAGCTGTTGGATGCACAATTGTAACAAAGCCTGCCGAAGACACTCCACTCTCTGCGCTTGCCTTTGCTGAGGTGACTACATATTTTGCGTTTTATGTGCTCAATGTAATTAACTGGTGTCCGTTTATTTTATTACTTTTTCATAAATTGAAAGCAATCTGTCAGCTGTCACTGAAAGCGAGACAAAAATTATTCAAAGGTACTATTCCAAGCGTTCAAGTTCAGGTGGAGCTGGTGATCAGTGAAGCACTGTTTCATTTCAGCTGTTTTAATCAAGTAATTGCATTCATCGTTTGATTGTGTCTTGTTCAGTTGGGTATGCAAGCTGGTCTTCCCGAAGGTGTCTTCAACGTAATCCCAGCCGATCGTGTTAAAACAGCTCAAATTTCAAAGTATCTTTGTAGTTCGACAGATGTTGATGCCATTTCGTTTACCGGTAGCACTGCGGTTGGGAAGGTTTGTTATTGTCATTGATTGCTGGATCAAGTTTCGTTTTGAAGTTAATTGTTGTAATCCAGCGATCGCAGCACTAAAATAAGTTAATTCAGAATTCTATAGTCCAAAAATAAGTGCACTTCCCATCATTATCCAGAATACAACGAGCACTAAAATAAGTAATACCATCTGCTAATTGTAAGTAAACTTTTGATAATGAACACTTTAATGCAGGCATCCCGTCGGATAATCCACAGTATTTATTTTGTTTCAGTTGTTGCTCTCGCAGTCGGCTGATACCGTTAAGAGAGTGTGTCTCGAGCTAGGCGGTAACGCTCCACTTATTGTCTTCCCATCAGCTAATATTGAAACTGCTGTTAAGGTTTGTTGTTTTGCATCGTGTAAATTATTATGCGTTTATGCTTGACAAACAGTCCGGTTAGTTGGGAATAGCATTATTTACTAAGTGTAAGTACTACCTTCCTTTCATATTCCCGTTTTCAAACTTCCAGTCACTCCAGTTCAAGCGTCACATTATCGGGGAAAATGCGTGCATCGAGGACGGGGATGAGATTGAGTTTTTCCTCGAAGTTTTCCGTTTTTTCATGGCGACTGCATTTTTGCGGTCCCCGATTTTTTCCCATCCCGCAACATGCTAGTGCAGAGTAAGTCTAGTTAGAAAATTTTTTTCGCATCATTCTTCGAGAGGAATTAACGGTTCTCAAGAAATTCTTACGTTGATTCTCTAGAAATATTTTATAGTTCATTAAATGGCTGATGTAAAAAGGATTTGCTATTGTAGAAGCTCACAAAGCTAAAATTTCATGTGTAGGGTACGATGGCAACCAAATTCCGTGGCTCAGGACAAACGTGCATATCAGCAAATCGAATGTTCGTTCATTCGACAATTCATGACGAATACGTGAAACAGCTTCATAATGCAATGAAATCGTTGGTTATAGGCGATGGCATGAGAAGTGATGTTAACCAAGGCCCCCTTATCAATGAACGAGCTGTTAAAAAGGTGAATGCATTCATCCTTTCGTTCTGATGCATATTTGTTGCATAATTATTCAGATTTCATTCAACTACGCCATGGTTTTATTGAAGCAGCATCGTTTGAATTAACGACATTCTGAGCTTATCATATGCTCTTTTTTGGAACATTGCTTTCGAACTTCAAGTTTCTTCTTGACATGAACGAAGTTGAATTGATTTTCATTGGATAGACCGTTTAATATATGTCTCGTTCAGATTGAATTGAGTAAGTCCACAAATTATTCTCATTATGAGTTGCAAGCAGTGTATGAAATGAATTCGATTCAGTCAGTATTCGATCTATTTGGGTAGTTAATTCAGATCGAAGATTTGATATCGGATGCCGTGTCGAAAGGCGCTAATGTTGTTTGTGGTGGCAAACGAGGTACTCAATCAACGCTGTTTGAACCAACGTTGATCACAAACGTTCAGTCAAATATGCAAATTGCACACACGGAAATCTTTGGTCCTGTTGCAGCTATTGTTAAGTATGTTTGATTGCATTCTTATATGTGTAGCCGCTATCGATCCGTGAGCTCTGAAGATCTGTCATGGTTGAAATGCATTGCGAGATTTATTGTTCAGTGAGTGACTTCACGATTCTAGTTTTGAATAGCGTTTATACTGATGTTGATAATGAATCAAAATGATTATTAGTAGATATTTGAGGCTGTTGAATCGTACGTGAAAATTTTGCAAGCGATAATGAACAGAAATAATGTAGTGTTCAATGAATTACGTTTCAAATCATCACTTAGGTTCGAAACGGAAGAGGAGGCGCTTCAACTGGCAAATAATACACGTTCTGGTCTTGCTGGTAGGTGCTGTTTTCCAATTTATTCGTTTTATTTTCCTACTAATATCAGATCCGTCGTAATCATTCGATTGTGAATTTTAATTTTGGAAATATGGTCGTGCTAAAATTTTTTATATTCCTTATTTTAAAATAGCATCTGTGAATGTGTATGTTATTGTTGGGAAAAATAAATGAGATCACTAGTTATAAAAAGTTCGACTGGAATTGCTGACTGCAAGTCTTGTTTCATTTATATTTTTTCTTTGCGGCTAATGGGAACTTTGTGATTCCTTTGGAGTCGTTGCTATATATATACTGGTTCGAAATTCTCTTATTCTCCCCCTTTTATTTTGTTTATTTGCTTTATTTGTTAAAGCTATCTACCGATTGTGTGTTAGTTCGCATCAGTGTTTTTACGCGATGCTGGAGTCCCGATTTAGAAATTGATACTCCAAAAAATTCCGGAATTTGATAAAACACGGTGTTTTGTCTAATATTGGTAATTTACTCGTCCTGAATTGCGCATTAATCATTCCCGGTTCATTCATATTTATAAATATTTGTTGTTCACTGTCTAAGCGGTAATAAAGCGATAAATCGTTGCATAAATGCGACACCTCTGCTTTCATTCTTCAGAAAGCAGTGAACAAAAATTCATGACGTTATCATTCTTGCTTCGTTTTTCATCATAACCGTTACTCTGTCTTCCGTTGTTCGGTGTCAGCATTTTGCAAGCACTAGTTCGCATAGTGTGTTGAAAGGATGCAACAAGCGATTACGACTCTTTCTCAGACGGCTTCAAATATATCCTCTCTTATCGAGAACGAATTATTTAGTTTTTGGCAGTAAAGTCAAAGTTCCTACTCACTTCCCAAATCATTTTTACTGTAATTGAACGGGAAGCGAAAGTTAACACTAATGTAAAATAACAGCTTCAAATTTAAGGTTATATTTTCACAACTGATCCGGCTCAAATGCAGCGTGTTAGTCGTCGACTGCATGTTGGGATGATTGGTGTCAATGAAAGTAAGTTATTTTTGTAGTCCTCATCCTTTTATAACTCTCATTATTTCGTTCCTCACTCCGTTCCTTTAAGAAGTTTTTAATAATTTCAAACGAAATTTGTGTGTAGGGAAGAGATTAAGGTTTTAATTTTCAGCCATGATATCTTGTGCTGAAGGTGCGTTTGGTGGTGTGAAGGAAAGTGGTTTAGGTCGAGAAGGAGCTGCACAAGGAATCGATGAATTTTCACAGTGGAAGTATATTTGTACAAGTTATTGAGTCGTTGAAGTGATTTGTGCCAAAAAGAATAAATTTCGAATGTTGTAGCATTTTGCTAGTCGTTTTTTTGAATGCTGTTTGAGGAGTATCTTAAAGTTATTGTTTTATCTAATATGAAGTATATGCTGGGATGTAGTTGTTTATCACTTTCTTTATATGATTCTGCCAATATTTTGTGGTTTTTCAGACAATCTTCCATGTAAAAATATGTTCTATTGTGAAGTATTTCTACAAACAATTTTTTTCGTTTGTGCCATTGTCAGTTATTATTGATAATTATTCGCATGCTCTATCTGATCGTTTTGTATTTTTTATTTTTGATTATGTTTTTATGTTAAATCGTTTTAATTATGTTTTAATTTTTTGATTATGTTTAATTTTTTAATTGGTTAAACGACTTTCAATGTTTTGATTATGGTAAAGCGAATTTGATTAGCATATTGCTTGCTTGCTTTCTAATGATCAACTTTCAACGACCAATTTTAACGTTTGGTCATCTCATTTTAGTGCTTGGTGAAACGGACTCGAAAATAACCTATTCAAACTGATTATCATTCATCGGCGGCAGTTCAGATATGATCATACATGTCATTTACCGAATAGCTCAAATGATATTCGATGAAAATTTATCTAAAGGATATCTGCGATTCAACGGAAGGTTATCTGAAAAGGGACGACAATAAACGAAACTAAAGTTCAAAGATCACAAACGTGGAATAGAATGTGCGACCGAAGCGAAAATATGTGTATGAGTTAAGGCTGGAATGAAAGGAATAATTCTCTTGAATGAAATGGTGCGAGTGGTGCTAAGTGAATTAAGGTTAAATTAAAACGCTTGGTCAGCATGCAATGTTTCTTATTGAAACTTTTCACACAGCCATTATTTCCCTACACCTTATCAAATTTCTCACGATCGCTTTTTACATTTCGACATAAAAATACACTCTTTATGGAATCAAAGTTCACTTCAAACAAACCAAATGCAGAGAGCGCTTTTCAGTTCATCAAATAACCATTTAAAGCCTCGTTTATCGTTCGGCATTCTCATATCAAATACTTCATTCAGCTGCCTGATTGAAATATTGCTTTTGCCGTTCTGTCTTATCACAATAATTTGCAGATATTTTCAAAGCAGTTCCATTTCAGACAGACATTGTGGTTTGAAAAATTTTATCTTTGAACATTTCAAAAACTTTTTTCGTGATATTCCTTTACTGTTAATGATGAAACTGAAAGCAGTAGCAATACCAACTAACTTCTAAAGCGTTTTTTTTTCACTTCGAATATATAATTTAAAGCTCTGCTTTGCACCAAACCTAAAGTTCCTCCTATCTTAGTTGTTAGCAGATTGTCTAAAGGGGTTATTAATGGGCGATATCTGAGCGTAACTGCTGCTGTAAAATAATGAGAAAAACAATCATATGTGATAATTTTCAACAAGAGAAAGCATGAAGGCGATCGATTGATTGATTGATTGATTGATTTATCAGCTAGGTATGGAACTAATAAACAATCAAGCATTTATCCGAGAGAACGTTTTCTTGTCAATTCGTTATTTCGAGATTTCATTCATTCTTTATTTATTGAATAGTTTCAAAGAATTGAAACAAGAAAGAAAATATTGTAGCGGAAATTGTTTGAATACGAAGCGAATGCGTCTGCTGAGGATAGCGTGCAAATATTGAGTTTGTATGATTGCAGATGATTGATAACGTCTATTTGCAATCAATTGAATTGCATCACAAGTAGTTTTATAAGGGCACACGATCGTTTCCATGGTACTAGTCGCACCTTAACTTTATTCACTCCGCTTGCATTCACACTTCATCATAACTAAGTATCCGTCCCAAGGATATTAATCAAGCCACTCATGTTCGTTTGATAAAAACCTTCATCTTCTTCGCTTAGCATTTCAGTTGTGAGTGATATACCATCAAAACTAGAACTTATATGTTTTTTCATACAATTTGCAAACAATTAGATTGATGAGCATATTACTCAGTTGAGTTTTTCCGCTCAATTTCGTGACAAATTGGTTTTAATCGACGTAATTAGTCCAATTTTCATCATTTTACTTGTGTTTTGGTCAAGGAACGTCTCAGAAGTTATGGTTCTTAAGAATCCACTGCGTAAGGAATTCACCTTATCGATTTTCGGTAGATCAATTCGGCTGACTCATCTTGATCAGTTTGGCATCTATTTTAGCCAGAAATTTTGTACAAATTCGAAAAAAAAAACAATTCCATCAAAACTCGTTCTTGATTATGTGAGGGATTCTCATCCAGGAAGAAAGGTCACTGAACGTCCCGTTAGCTGATCGTGTGGAACGTTTGTGTGTCAGTTGTTCATGCTAAAAAAAAAGGACTGTTCCATCTTTTGAGGTCCACATCATTCACTTATCCACTGCACTATGTGGATATGATTTGCAGCGCAATCATACCATCATAATTGTACATTTCCTCAAACGCTCATTGCTTCAATTTGATCTGAATTCAAAAATTTCGCGAAACTAGAATTATTCAATCAAATATACAATCTGAAGCGTGGTTTGTGTTATGTAATTTTTAATTTTGTAGAAAAAAATCAAAAAGTTAGTTGTTCAGTACTTGAACATAAAGGAATACATTCAAAGTACACTGTTTGGTTATTAAATACCAATCATCTCCTCTCTGATTTTTTGCCGACATTTGATGATCAATTGTTGTCGTTCGACGATCAATTTTCATCATCTAATCTATTCGATGAGAAGTGTACATTCACAAAATGATCGCAACAGTGATGCAAGTCATTCGAAAAATGAAATGCATGCAAGTATGTTATCGGACACTCACGCTTCTAACCTTTATGCAGTGATAAATACGTTGCATATTCCTGAACAGACGAAAAGATAAATTTTGAATGTTAGGACAAGCTGATTCACAAACTCAAATTTCAGGGTCATGTTCTTTAATGACGTTTCAACAGCGATCACTTTCGGTGCCAAAAGTGAAGCAAAATAAAGCATTGCAAACAAAATGATAGTGAATTGTTTTTTGACGTGTACGACACTCCACAAATGTTCGCTTTTGGAATTCATCATAACATCCTTCTTATTTCAATTCGATTCTATCAATGCATCATGCACGTTTAGTCACAATCATCTTAATACTATATCTTATTACTGTGCATTTAATTCTTGCTTGACTCGGATACGTTCCCCTTAACATTCCCAGCTCTTTAAAACTTACACCTCAGGCACCATAACATCACATCCTAAGGTCATTACAGAATGGACACACTTTGGAATTTTCTGTGAATTCTGCAGTGCACCTGTGATTTTGCACAATTGCATTTCTAACTGAACGTTAATCGGTTAAGTACAGTGTTGGGAATCGCAAGATTTTTCTCGGTGGTCACCGACCGAGAGCCCTGTCTGTGGTCATCGCAACTCCCTGGTTACCGACCGTCTGATTTTGAGCATTAGTCGGTCGCTGTTCGGTTGTAACCGCAGGGTGGTTTGTCACCGCCACCGACCGAGCAAGCCTTGTCGGTCGGTCGCAAAACCGTCGATGATTACCGACCGATTTTCGGTGGTCATCGACCCAACACTAGTTACGTTTACGATTCTTATGAACCCATCCGATGAAATCTTCTTCCAGTCAAATATTCATTCATTAGAGATGGAGGTGTGTTCAATTACAAAATTACCGAACAAATGCTATCCTCAGTGAAAGCGCGAGCGATATATAGCCTGAGAATTTTCACGGGTAACCAATATATTCCCGGAAATCACTCCAGAACTGCAGTCGTGCTTCGATTTATTTCTCATTCATTTGTAGGAGATCGTATTTTTGTTTCAAGTTGAATTCTCGTTTCCAACACATTACTAATTTCAGAAACAATTCTATGGAACTATTGGATTCAATATCTGAAGTTCATATTGCGATGAATTTATTTCTGAATAACAAATTTCAGACGGCTGAGGATCGTTTGGCTGCGTTAACAAAGCTTAATATAGTTGAATTCCTTAAATTTTCATTTGCACCAGCAATGGTTTAGTGTAAATAAGAGCATAAAATGTTTACGCGAATGAATTTGTTCGGGAATATAGATTGTTAACTGATAGAGTGAGTATTTGTCCAATCACAAAAAATACTTTCAGGTGTCAAAAAAATATGTATCATGCACTTGGCTACAGCGCAGTTGTATGTGTAAGAGCGATCATGACATGTGATAGGGTAAGTCACTGAACTGATAAGCATGTTGTTAGCTGATCAACATAAGGCATGATTAAGCAGTGATTCAGCTGAGGATTGCAGCTTGAGGACCTTATAAGGGAAATGTGAAGGGACGGAGGGATGCTTCACCTAGAAGACTTGGCAGAACCTTTGAACGAAGCAACAACATACAATACACAACAATAATGATGACCGCATCGCTATGTCGCCGAGCGTTGATAAGATACCGAATTAGATGTTTGTTGACAGAATAGAGAGTTGAGACGTTCGTCGACGGAGTGCTGAATTGTGATGACTGCTGACAGAACACTGAATTGAGGCGTTCACTCAAGAATATATTGTGAGGCTATCGCCTATGGAATATATTTTTGAGATAAATGCCTTCAGAAATAGAATATCCGAACGATTGCACCGAAGACGACCTGTGCTCCAGATAGCTCACCTTTTATTCAGTTTCGACTACCGAAGATTCCGCCCCTTCCCCATAGATTTGTTTTGTTGACTTAACTTAATGGTTTTGTTACTGGTCGTTCGTTCTGCTCCGAATGTTGTCCTTATCAATCGAAAAGAACTGCGTGAACGGTTATGAGTTGCTTTGAGCAGTCAGTCAGATATGACGTTAAAAGATGCAACAAAAGACGCTTTTCGCTATTTCTACTGCTTTTTGGTGGAATGTACCCTCGAATCAGCCATTAATGAATGAATGGTAACCAATAACGATATCACCGATATGGAATCATAATGATAAAAGATATCTTTACGTAAAACAGCGATGTAATCAGAACACTACAAAGAGTCGTAAGTGACACGGACTTTCAGCCTGAACTGTGAGGATTTCTCTGCTAATAGCGAATAAAGTCCACTTAGATTTTGATTATATTTCATTACAGTTTGCTCAGCATTATTGCTGCATAGTAATGAAGAATGATAGTACCTCTGTTAGTGTGTCTGAAAAACTTAGCTACTAGTTAACGCATCCCATTACCCGACTCAAAACTTTGAAGCACGATTTGGAGAGAGCGATGCAAGTTTCCAAAGACACCACAGCTGTTATCGATACATTCCGTGCGAAGTTCTCGATCGCAGAATCGTTGCACAGACTCAGTGGACAAATGAAGACACTGACCGACCGTAAGCAATAAGTATCTCTTCGCTTGTTCCCATTTGGAAAAGGAAAATTTTCGAGCCTATCGACTCTCATTCATACAAACGATTTTCATTATGGTGACCAATCGACGACTGGTCATCATAATTACCGTTTATTCCGTGTATGTTCAAACAGTCGATCAACTATTAACTCATTCATTCCTTTGTTCTTTCCAATCGCTTTATATCCACATTTTAGTTGCATACGAAATGTATATTAGCATATCAAATCAAGACGAAAATTACTGAGGAACTACACGCTGAACTCTGTTATGCTGAGTAATTATTGCTGTGTGCAATTTCGGCATTTTCAATGATGAAAGTTTGGGCAGTTTTGTTCAAGAAGCCTTCAAAATTCGTGCCTGCTAGCAGTCGTACAGGTGATTGATCACTGTATCAACCGGCTGCAGTTATTTAATTAAATCGAAGGTTGAGTTTAAAACGAAAATATGAAAGTTTAAAAGACGTTCTGTGGTGTTTTAGAGAGTGCGAGCGCTGCTTGAAATCAAATATATGGGCGGATAGGGACGCTCATTTTGAATCTGGTACGCATCTTGCTATAGGAACATTTAATCTCATGTTATCCATATTACCAACAAAGATTCTTCGTATTTTAGAGGTGGTTGGATTCTCCGGAGATCTGGTGAGTTGCGTGATTTCTTATTCGGTACCTGCAGAACGCCATTTCATTGATACTGCTTTTGGGATGGAAAAACAAAACACAACCAAAAGCAATTCCAATGAACTGATAATAAACCTGGCACAATTCACTAATCAATTGATCCGTTCGGAGTATTGTTTCTTTGAAATTACATGCATTAATGTATGATACCATTTAAACATTTGACTGATTTGAAAAGTATATTAAATTGCGTAATGTTATGAATCCATCAAATATGGAATAATAATAGGAAATGTACGAAAAAGAATAAAATATGAGCATAGGTACATATTCGAGAAATTATTGAATAGATCATCAGTTTTTTTTTGATCATTTATCGTTTAGTCGACCACTTTTGCCAGGAAGATTATGCACACTTCTCGTTTGCTTTTATCGTTATCAGACTCATCATTGCTCTTATCATTGAGTAGCCAATTCACTTGCACATTAACCTTAATATTAGATAATTATTTCAAAAATCCTTATGAATTCCATTAGAGCTTATGGAAGGAAGCACGCCCTTTACTGATAATAACTTATGAAATTTGAACAGCATTAACGCATTCAGTATACACATTCTGAGTGCAAAACGGAAAACTTTTATTCAAGTTGGGGTTCCTCTGAAGAAAGTTGATTCGAAAAGTGATTTGAAATGTTCTGAATAAATAATTGAACAAATCGTCACTCCTCTGTGCAAATTCAGTGCAACATTTATTATGCTGAGAAAAAATCCAAATATGATCTATTCATCGTGCATGAATTGTTTATCAATCATTTTAGCTTACAAACCTTTGGGTATTGATCAAGAATTTTCACTGATTGTGAATAGTAGTAGGTTTGACCAATCTTTAGAGGACAAGTCAAATTGCCTTTTTCACATGGATTGTCATTGTCTAGATTGAACGGTACGAGTGCACCACCAAGTTTAGCTCGAACCGTTGTTTGCAGTTTGTCAACATCTCGATCTGTAAATCATTCAAATTCACCTTTTCCGTGCGGTCCCTTCGAGTTCTTCGCAAAATGGTTTTGATTTGAATGATTTCACCGGATAAGTCAAAGTACATTATCCGTTTTCGTCTCAACATTGGCCAAAAGATTCTTTCTGCTTAAATGTTTCGTATAAATCCATAGGAAAATGAGTCCATGAAAGCGAAAAAGTCTTGTTGGACAAAATTCTTTCAAAAGTATATTAATGAATATATGAATAACAACAATAAGTGTTTGAAAAAATATATGATGAAGATTTTCAAAACGGTTTCGTTTGTGAAGTAGAAATACAGTTGTGAGTTTCGTTTTATGAGGTTAATATGTTCAGCGATTGTGCTCTCGTTTTCGAAAAGCGACCGAGACATTTGATTTTCAAGTCAATTTTATTTAAAAAATGTAACATTTATTTCAGCGCATTTGACTGACTATGCTATCAGTTCATGCGAATCAGCTTGTATTGTCAGCTTTTGTGTCATATATAGAGCTGGCTCGGTAGGCACTAAATTTCGGAGGCCCCCAAAAATCGGTGGTCACCAACCAAAACTAAAAACGACTGTTCGGTCGGTGACAAACGAAGAACGAATTTTGGTGTCATAGACAGACCGAAGACACATTTGCTTAGTGATGCCTCTATTACAGTTAAACTATTCTATTCCTGTTCTATTCCATAAAATAGAATAGAACAGTTCGCAAACGAGGAGGGCACAGAATAGAACAGAGCCGTTTTTGAGCCGAAAAATAGAACAGTTAAAATAGAATAGTTATCGAAAAAGGGATGCGAGAATAGAATAGAACAGTCATCAAAAAACGCACAGAATAGAATAGAGCTATTTTGGAGCGGAACAGAACAGTTTTCAAAAAGATGTTCTAGAGACATCACTACCTGCAATAAATTTTCTGTCATTCTATAAGAAATCTGCTGCTACATTCTTTTATACTTTTCCTTTCTGAATGTAAACTATCTCCTTATCAAATCATTTCGTTTGATGAAATGTTATCAGCGATGTTTTCAAAGAAAATGCACACACTTGGTTTGAAGCCAATTCGAATTCTCGGCTCTGAACCTCGCTTGAAATCACACGAATTCCCAGTTCCTGGGCATCCAGCTGCTTCCACACTTATTAGCTCAAAATTTGACTCTGAAAGTGAGAGCAACTATTCAACTTCTGTCATTACGATAAACATTAAATGAGGAAGATGATGATAGATAAAAAATAAACGATTGCTTTGAAAACTGGTTATTGATAAAATCTTATGGCGTATTTACCATGTTGTTTACATGTTTTCCCATCAGATTCTGTCATACGTAAATATTTTTTAGTTATTTTCTCTTGATGGTAACATCTTCACAACTGGATTCTTACTGTTTCATTCCATTCCACAGAGTAGATGTCTGGTCAGAAAATTTTTCAGCGCACACATTATAATTTTTGCTCAAATGAGGTTTTTTGAGGACAAAACGGCACCATTATTATAGTTTACGATGTGATGAAATATTGATTGAATAGAGAAAATGTGTAAAACTGATAAGAATGAGTAGAGTAATTGAAGATAGTTTTTAAATTCATCTGAAGCGCCGTCTTTACATTTCCTATAGCGTTAAGAGTATAGATTTGGACAAATTTATCTAAATTCTTTTGAATTTTTACAATACACTGAGCTCATGTTCTGAACTGAAACACAGAATAAACGTGCAATATCCACCAAACTTACTGCAATCCTTGTATCTAATTGGACGGAAATCTTCTGCTTGGCAGCAAGTTAACGAAAATGCGGCAAGAAAGGTCAACTGAATGAGAGAGATACGCGCCATACCTGAAAATTAATATACTCATAAATATTACAATTGGGAATCTTCAAATTCATTCTCAGTTTAAATTCCAAGTGATCTTTCTTTCATTGAGCAGTGATATTCCTTTCAATGAGTGAACTCTGAGATCTTACTATGTCGCGAATACTCAACTTTAGAAAAACTCGCTGAGTGAGTATGTATCAAAATGGATAAGTTTAATATTAAGCGATTAGATATGCGGAAAAGAACACAGTGATGTTCGTTTTAACGAACAGAAAGGTGCCTTCAAGTGTTTGGTACACAACATAAAGATATTTAATGTCTTTAAAGAGATATATATCACTGACTTGAAAGCGAAGGCAGTTATAAATTCATAAGTGGCAAAGCAAAATTTTTCTTTCGTGCATCATATGATTCATAGGAATGACATTGTTCATAAGCTATGATTTTCTGCATCACATCGGAAGGCTCAAAGTAACCGATCTCGAAGTGATGTAGAGCAATACAAGAGGATGGGAATCGAACGTAAATTTTATAACAATAAATTGCGACGTTTGTTGAGCTAAAGCATCGACAAAAATGGATGCCATTGTTCTTGGAAACATTGTAGATGATTTCTCCAGTATAGGATACTTTGGTAAATGATGAGGAAAGGTGTTATGAATGGCGCAACAAGATATGCAAGACCGCCCACCATCGAACGGAAACCTGCTGTCTAACTTGATGAATTAATTTTTCGTTCTTCAACGGCTTATTGCGAACGATGACAGTGAGTCAGTCTATCTGCCCTCTCGACAAATTTCAATTCGTCTAGCAACAAGTACAACTGTGTTCGATTTCCGTGCGAACAAAACAATAATATCAGTCGTCAAAAGATGCTTTTTCGAAGCAATGTGATTGACTGCTCGGTATTAATTGTCTAAAATGCTTCTTTATAATTGAAGTGGTTCTTAAAAGAGAACTGGTGGCACATATTTTGATGAAAAAAGTTAGACTTGTGTAAAGAAACGTTAGTTTCATGAATGTAGATCAGTAGGTAAGAAAACGAAACAAACAATCATACATTTGCGAAACTGAATTTATAGTGAGTGAACAGCTGCTAAAATGCTTTTTAGAATCTTAAAACAATTATTTCTGTCGAATTACGAAAGATATTTCAAAACGAAAGAAGTGATAATGAAAACAATCAATTCTTCGCAAATAGCAACTGGAAGTAACAACCGCTTAGTGCATTATTATTTGCCATCGAGAAATTAATTGATGAAAAGAGAGATGTAGCTGAACATTTGATAGCAACTATCAAAACGATCAGATATTGTATCCAAAGAGGTGTTACAACGTTTGCGCGCAAATAGTGATTCATTGAAGGCAGCAACATTCGCATACATCCCCAACCAAATTATTTCGTACATATCTACCACTTATCAGACGTCATATTTTATCAACAAACCTTTTCATTCTCAACAACACATTTCTCTCTTTCTCTTTCGCGAAAAAAATTCCCTAAACTGTTCGCGTTCTGGAAATATTTTGGAAGCGTATCTTGAAAGTTATTGATGTGCATCGCATGAACCCTTCATTTGTGCCTGTCTAATCATTGAACTTACTCTTAGCGCATCGTAATTCAGTATGAAACAGTAATAACGAATAATATCAACGAAAGAAATCATGAACTGCTATAAAATTGCACGAATCAAAGTGATAAAAAATCAAAAAATTATGGTCATCCAAGGAGTTCCCGTAATCAAATCTAGTATCTTTCAAATAGCCCAAAACGATCAGTTGAACGATCATACGATGAAATATATCAGTGATGTTCATAAGCAGATTGGCTGCTGCGTTGAGTCAATTAAATCGCTAGGTCGAGCATATTTTTCTATGCAGTAGTGATAGTGATTGATCGAAGACGGCTAAGAAGCGCCTCAGCCAAGTTGATTATCCGTATTGTTCTATTTACATTTGGAACTGATAGAGATAAAACGTAATCGAAAGGTTATATGAGGAATAAGTTCACATTCCACCAAATAACACTTTTTTAAACATAATAACACTACATCGCAAAAAATTAAATGAAGCCATTATGATAGAATTGTCATATAAGTCGTCAATATTCATATAGAATATTCGATTGTGAGCATATACGAATGGCTCAATTGCTACTTCACAGTTTTTCATTTTATTGCGATCAAATTTAAGAAATTCAATAGTAGTAGGAGGTGTCAAAAAAATTCAGTATCAAAAATATCAGAAAGTTCGAAATATTAGTGGCAAGATATCTCCTCACTGCTCAGCAGACTTCTGTATCGTAACAGCAAACTTCTACATTGAGCCTATTCTCCGAAAAATAACCTCCTGTCTCCGTTGTAGATTCTCTGCATTTACTGGTAGCCGTTATAACATCAAACAGTGCGAAGAAATTCAGTGGATGTTTATCTGTATTGAAAAATATATGAATTCCGGTGCCAACTAGAAGATCCGATGAACAATTTAGATGATTTCGATATTGTAAAAATGAGAGAATAATGTATGGCGTACTGGTGGAGCTGATAATGTTTAGAAGTGCCTATATTATACATCTGCTTGGAATTCACTGGAAGGTGAACTGAAGAAACTGAAAGCGAAAACAATTGCAGACAGTTGGAATAAGTGAATCAATGAATGGAACTTTACGTGCAACGTTGTGCTCGATGGTTCTATTATCGTGGCATTTATTAGCAGACTTCGTTGTTGGTTCTGCTAATGCGGATATTAATATTTGCAAGCAGCTTTCGTCATCGCTTATCAATAGCTATCCAGAGGTTCACTATTTCATTTTATCACGCACTCATTCAATTAATTGTTTTATGACACACTCATTCAAATTATAGAGTTATAGAACCATAGGATAGGGCTCAGTTAAATTGCAGGAACATTCTTTTTTTCTGGTGTAAAAAAACTGTTTTCGGATGACGAAAGCAATATCAGATATAAAACAATTTCTATGCTTCGAAAATTGATTCCTTAATTTTGTTTGTCAAAACAGATATTCTTAATATCATATTATCACCGGTGATCAATGCTGATGCAAATTTTGATATTGATGCACCGAATAATGGTGACTTGAAGGCTTTTATTTGCTCACAGTTTCTGTGGGCGAATGAAAGCCTTCAATAATAGAAGGAATGATAAAGATGGACGGAAACTGGAACAAGAGTGAGAACAAAAGTGAGAGTATGAACAATTTATATGAACTTATTAAATCAACCATGGAAAAAGAAAAGAAATCCTTTCAACTGTTATTTCTGTTATTAAAAAACCTTTTATTATTTTAAAAGTTTCTCACCACAAAAACGTTTGGGTCGTTCAAAAAGTGAACTTCTAATCGTAAATTTTTTCGCCATTTCCATTGAAATGTTTACCGATAATGTATGAAAGATTTTCATACATAACGGTACAAACTAATACCTTTGATAGCAGTACTCTGCGACGACCCTATTGGATTGACAGATTTCCAGTAACATTTACAGAGCGCCATTGTGTTTTTCTTCAAAGCACGACTGAATACAGTGATGGGGGAAATTGACAATGGAATTCATTCTTTCAATGAATCGATTATCTCTCAAAATTTCTACCCACAGTTTCATCATGTGTGCTACTGGAAATTACTGTACGGTTTCATATCTTACGTTCATTTCCGTTTTTAATCGTCAATATTTCCTTCTTTTTTTTTTCGTTTCGTCAATTACATATACTTTAGCCGCAATTTGAGGACGGTATATTTAGTGAAATGCGTAAGCTAGTATGAATTTCGAAGGTTAGCCCACTCTCATGATTCACTTAAAATTTCGAATTTAAAATCAGTCTCTACTATGAAAATTTTTGTATTTTACGATTACGCATCGTTGTCGTGAAAACAGACTGAATTCTTCTAACGTTTATTCGCTATTGTAAAGAATAATGCTTTTCGTTGATTCTTCGAGAGAAGCCTCGTTAAGGAAAGAAATATTGATGCTTCACTTCATTCGGAAGCAGAAGAACAAAAATGGTTCCGTTCGAAAATTTTGTTTTGAATTTCAATAACAGTAAATTGCAAAGTAACGTTGTTGAATATTTTAGTCAAAATGTGTTTACACTTATTTAGTTACTATTCTTATCAATACACAGCTGAATTCAGCAGGAATAACAGAAACAGTTGAAAATTTGCTGAGGTTGGTTGATTATTCATTGAAGAGAGATTCTCTCGGAAATTAGTTGAGCTTAGCTCTCATTCTCACATTTAATATGCTCTATGCGATACCATATCATGCTCGAAAATATTTCGTTCATACTTCGAACTTTTCATTCCTGCCACATCTTCAAGGTGCATACTTTCATTTGCTTTTCTATTAGCTTATTCGGAGAGAATTAGGTGAGTTTGGATGAAAGCGGAAAAAATCGATGGTCAACTCACACCTGACCGAATGAATTAAGTTCGATTTGAATTCCGCAGTCATAGTCCAGTATCATCGCAACTGAAGATGAGAATCGTTGATTTCGAGAATGGTTTCTGGTTTCATTCATGGGTATGTTTTTTCCAGGAGGGTGCCTGAGTTAAGAATACGTATTGCTGGTAAATTGCTACCAGTTGAGAAATTTTGCGCAATTAAATCGAATCGATTCCTTCGAAACGGCTCAACTTTCCTTGCGCACTATGTGAGCTCAAGTTTTTCTGGTTTTATTGAGCGGATTCTCAACAAATTTTTTGAAAAACATTTTTCCATTGAGAAATATTTTGAATCAAATCTTTTTTGCTTCTTATCTATCGTTGAATATTTTTACGTTTTATGTTCATAATAAGACGAATCATCATTAAGGAATTTTTATATTTCTGGAATGGATTCACAATAATATCAACGAATTCTATGTTGATGGAGTCAACACTAAAAGATATTGATGCGATATGGCAACGATTGAAGGAAGATAATGGTTTGCTGTTTTGGTATGCTTGAGCACATTTTTGAGCTATGAACTTCCGTTTGATTCATTTCAAAGACGATTGGTCTTTCCATCACTCATACAATCCGAACTTTTTTTGATCGAACTCCCTCATGCATCGTAATGAAGTGTGGTAATAATGAGCGAAAATTGAAAGACACATTTCTACGATTATGCATAGTTGATTCAGCAAACTTTTGAGCATGTGATTGTATGTTTGAATTGTTGAAGATGTTTTCTGCAATATGAGTTATCCATTGTCAAGTGATATTTGCAGTTGATGTTGATGACAAATGTTTGTTTTTAATGTTAAATGGTGTATGCCAACGATTATTGCGCAATAATGTTCGGGCTGAACGATGCTTCGATGAAATTGTTTCGAAGTAATGTATCAATGTCAAAGCAATCGTTTGATTACCTTCCTTTATTTGTCGTGTGGTGAAAAAGAATTCGTAATTTTTTTCCAGCTTTTCAACATAACCATAGTCACAATATTTTTTCGTTTCTACCTGAATAATATTTCAGTGAAAAAGTTGGAAGAATTTCTCTAATAATAAATAAATAAGTTTCAGTGAAAAAAACCTTAATGATCACAGCTATTTGGTTCCATATGCATTGTTCGAGTTGGCGCAACTGCGAACGGATGAAGGGAAAAATGAGGATGCAAAGAAACTACTGAAAAGAGCACGAACTTATCGAGGATATTTGTTGGAGACACGACTAAATTTCAGAATCCGGAGTGTAAGCGGAACACTTGGTGTAAGACACCGTTAAATAATTGAATAAATGTTTGCACGATTCAAATCGTATCATTTCAGTATCCGTCAATGCGCCTGAACGATCACACTGTGAGGTCAATAGCGACATTGCTTTGGAATCTAATGTGTTAGGCGTAGAATACTTCATTAAACAGTATTTAAAAAAATAACTTAGGCGTAGAAAACTTCATAAACAATTTTACTAAACCCTTCCCACCGACTCCAGCTCGAAATCAGCTTATTCAATAATGAGCAGCCTTTGATTCAACAGTAACGCATAACTGCTCCAAAAATCTTCTGTGAGAAAGCATGTAATGAACCGACTAAAAGTCCTTCACGTAATCCGGTTTTCCTCGTTTGCCCGATCTATCTCCATAATAGTAAAAGTATTTCTTATATTAAGTATAAGATGAACAAAATAATTTCTTGATGACATGTGATACATTTACAAATGTTATCATTATTCAGGCTGTTCAATTTCATCTGTTATGTTTTAAATTAAGTCTCAATCTCGGAATGAGCGCTCGTCGCGAGCTCGAAATGAATTCATTCACTGTCTCATGTTTTTTCATGCACTGAATTCAATCGAAATTCAGTGAGTTCGACGTTTAAATGACATTTTCAGTGAAATGAATTAAACCAAGTTGCAACTGCTTGACTAGGGTAGTACTGGAGAAACAATTTCGAGATCTATTCTATTGTGCACATTTTCGTTGAAATCAGAAGATGCAAAAGACCACACAACAACACCGATTATTCAAATTGAGCAATTATAATAATTGTTTCATCTATAGGAGATACACTGCGCAAAATCGATAGGATACAATAGGTTACACGGCGCAAAAACAAAAATCGGCTCATGGTTAAACTTAACGCAAAGATATCAACTGTAGGAGCACGTCCTCAAGTTGAATTCACTACTGAGGGTAAACACATCTCGAAGAGTTGCTCTTCTTTATTGATAACAAATGAGGTCAATCAATTCGCGCAAAAAGTCATGTTTTATAAGAAACTGTTTTTTTTTGTGGGGAGAAAATGAGGGATTTGGCCGGCTGGGAGCTTTTGACGTGGTGCTTTTGACGAACGATTTGCCAGACGACTTAACCTTATCTCTGTTTAGTGTAGGTTCAATTAAAACCTACATAAGAAGCTGTGATTAATGCGGCGCACTGAAGCACTAGAACGAACGTAATTCAGCACCCGGCTAGTTTTGTCGCCTAACTAAAGACAAAGAAATACATAAATAGCATTCAAATAGTTTCGGACTGGATATGTGAAATAAAAAAGCATTAAAAATGTAGACCATTCATTAGGAAAAACACTACTAATCTTTGCGTCACTGTTTCATCCAATTTTATCAACTCTTTAAATCACCACAGAAATAAATGCAGCAGAGGTTTTTTGTTCTTTGCTAACATGTCACAATACTGAACTGTTCCCAATTTTTTCATGCGATCCGCACAGCGATAGCCATCATGTGTTGTGATTCGCACCGTATTGAAACAACATCGAAATACGAATTTTATTCATGTTAAAAAAGAAAACACCAACAATGATAACAAACAACAGCTTGAAAAAGCCTAGTATGAAACAACACATACGTTTGCAAAGCATCGATAAAGCGTAAACGAATGATATTATCACTGATTTATTATAATATATGATGCATCGTTGTAATTTTAGATTCGATTCAAACGTATTTGGTTGGTAAAAACAACAACGATCCGGCTTTACAAGAAAGACAATTTGAAAGAAACCTTTAGTCAACAAAAACAAAAAAAAAACCAATCGTCATGTTCCATTTTAAAAATACACCAATCTCTAACACAAACCGACGATAGATGATTATTCAATGAAACGAACCCAATTGAAATTACTTTATTAAGTCCATGGTCTCAAGCAATTGCCTTCGTCCACTTATCAGTTCCTTTTTCAGTTTCTCAATTGAAATTATTAAAATACTCGGATCAGAAACTCAACTTGTTAGTTTCTATGCAAGAAAGTGCTATCAAAATGTGAAAATACAACAGAAATTCAACGATTTCCACACGTTACTTGCGTGCATGCTTTACAGGTATAAGAAAATCACTTAAATATGAAACTGAACAGTGAAGCAGTTTTGAAAATTTTATTAATCGAACAAGCTCATTCAAATGATTGATGATTAAGCTAATAACTGTCAAAATTAGCAATTTACGCGTAGTTGAGATACGATCTGAGAATCGTGAAATGAATTAATAATCAGCACACATTTACAGATCACACTTACACGTATCAAAACGAACAAATGAACATAAACAGGCAGGCACACAAACACGCACATATATCCACTACACAACATTATTGATCCTCTTGAAAGCACACAACTAAAAACATTCAGATATCAACCTAGCACCAACAAGCCTTGTGTGCGATTCAAGAATTCTTCGAAACGATCCCGGAATTCTCGAGTCTCTTTGCGTGTCGGATTCATAGCCCCTTGAGGTAAGAGGCCGGTAAACGCTTCTTCAAGCTGATTGCGAGCAACTGCGTTCTGCTCTTTAGCTAACAAATTCATTGCCATTGCTTCGAACGCTGCCTGCAAAAAGAAACACTTCAATGACATGCAAGACTCATTAACAAATCCTTTTAAAGAAAAACCTACTCGATTACAACAGATGAGTGCATAAAGCGCAAATGTTGCCTCGTTGAGCATATCA